GGCTCTCCTGGTATTTTTAACTCCACATCTGAGGTGGATAGAAACAGGGAGGTCACTAGGCCTTATTGGGTCCCAGCCTAGGGAAGAAACTGATATCCCTACATTCAGGGAGAGACTCTATCTCAAAGAATAGGCAGGGAGTGATATAGGAGAACACTTGAGGCCCCCTTCTGGCCTCCATGCAGAGGCACACACACACCTGCACACATACTGCGAAGGTCCAAGGAAATGCTGAAGGAAGACCCCAGACTCAAATAGTATGTAAAAGCAAAAAGTGTTTTATTAGTATTCTAGCAAACATATGGGGTTGTTCACTTGTACAAAATGTACACGACCCTGAGAGGAGCGTGTAAGCTCTTTTGAAGCACAGCTAAGGGGAGTTTTAGGGACAGTTAGGTCATCTCATACATAATTGGTTAAGCAAGCACCATTACGTTAGTATATTTTTAATTGGCTGAGATTTAGTCTTATCATTTTTGGACATATTTGTATAAGCTTGGGCAAGTTCAGACATGATTTACAAGGGGGCTGCTGGATTTGTCCTTGAGACATTGTGAGGCTGGCTCAGGCCTTGTCTTTGAATGTAAGGGCCTTGTGGATAAATGGCCCTTTGTTGGAGAGACACCTATTTTTTCCTTTTCAGAGAACTGAAACCTAAACTCAGCTGTGAGACTTGGAGAGCTTAACCCCTTCAATACGTGTGCCACACTCACACATACATATAGGTATGCATACAGAAAAATAGAAAATAAGCAGCTCAAACTCAACATCTGAATCAAAAATGTCTCCCATGGGCTCATATTTTGAGCAATGAGTCCCTAGCTTGTGACACTATTTTGAAGACTGTGAAACCTTTAAGAGCCTGGGGCATGGTTGGAAGTAGATCACTAGGGGCAGTTCTTTGAAAGTTGTGCATAACCCTCTGATTTTAAATGCCGTGAGCTCCTGCTGCCATGGCTTCGCTGTGATGGAATGAAACCTCTCTGAAACCTGAACCAAACAAACTTTCCCTCCTTTAAGTTGGTTTTGTCAAGTATTTTGGTTGCAGGGATGTAAAAATGTGATTAAGCATAAAGGCATGCAACGAGACACTAAAACTGCTTGCTGAAATGGCCTAAAGGGGGGTGTGGGGGGCGACACTACCAAGTACAGAAGAACATGGGGAGCAACTGGAATTGTACCAAAGAGGAGAGAGACATCCATCAGAGTTTCTTTTTCTTTCTTTTTTTTTCTTTTTAAAAATTTGTATGTGTATGTATATGTGATATGCATGCATGGATGTGGGTACATGTGTGTACATTCATCTCACAACATCAAGAGCTTTCCTTAGTTATTCACCTTATCCACTGAGGCAGGGTCTCTTACTTGAACTCGGTAGGAGTTCTTTTCTACTACTGTGATAAGACACTGTGACCAAGGCACCTTATAGAAGAGTTGATTTGGGGCTTGTGGTTTCAGACAGTGTCCTAGTCAGTGTTCTATTGCTGTGAAGAGACAAGGCGACCAAGGTAACTCTTATTTAATTGGGGGCTTGCTTAGAGTTCAGAGGGTGAGCCCATGATCAGTATGGCAGCAGGCAGGCAGACATGGGGCTGAGAATTTACATCCTTGATCTACAGGCAAGCAGAGAGAGGTGAGGGGTGGTTGGGTGGGAGACTGTCTCTGCTGTGGACTTTTGAGACCTCAAAAAAGCTCACCCCCAGTGACACTTCATCCTTCCCAAAGAATTCCACTCACTAGGGACTTAGTGTTCAGACACAGGAGCCTATGGAGGGCTATTTTCATTCAAACCTCCACAGAGGGTTAGAATTTGTGATGGTGGAGTGGAGGTAGCCAGTGACAGGCAGCAAGGGCAGCAGGTGAGAGCTCACATCTGGAACCACAAGGAGGAGGCAGAGAGTGCCCTGGAGATGGAATGAGTCTTTGGAAACCTCAAAACCCACCTTGGTGGCACACCTCCTCATCCTTCCCAAACAGTTCCACTAACAGGGGACTAAGTATTCAAATGTGTGAGCCCATGGGGTCCATTCTCATTCAAACTACCTGGAAGTCTGGCTATCCCCTGTGAAGGAGACCCCTTCCACACGGAGACACTTGTTTTCACAAAGAGCTCCTTTATTAGGCAGGGAAGAGAGAAGTTAAAGTGCCTGCTTTCTGACTCAGGCAGAAAAACAGCAGCAAATGAACTTGCAGGTGTAATTTTTCAGAGGAGAATAAGGGGAGGTCTATGTTAGAATGGGCTAGGATGCGGTAGTGTATTCTGATTGGGCATGTTAATTACAAGAACCAAAGGAAGCTTTTGATTTCTGAACTTCAGTATTTTGACAGCTAGACCTTGGCAGCCAGCCTTAGGAGGAGGAAGTGGCCAAATGAGGGAATAGACCTTGGTGGCTAGCTTTAAGAATGTTATCTAACAGTTTTTAGCCAGGCAGAGGGAATGGGAGAGAAGGGCAAGGCTGGCCAGAGCCACAGGCTCGTGTGGCCTAGTGTCCCTTCACCTTGCATCTGCTACATCCCTTTGATCTTGGTGTCTGACTCCCTGTTAACTCTATACTGAGTTCTCTTTGTTCCTCATGGTCACTGCAGTGCAATTGCCTCTAGTTAACTTTTGTTCTCTTTCTGAAATAGGTGGAGGCTTCCATTGAAGCAACCTCCACTTAGTCAGCTACAATGAAATATAAATGAGCATGTGTGAAAAGACAATAGGACCTTAGGCGTGGTCCTCAAGGGCAGTTGGCCCGATGGCACTCCCTCATATCTGGCTAGTTTGGTGATCTCACACCTAGTCTTAAGCTCTCTTATTCATCCTCCCCTGTGTCCCAGGCTCTGCTATTTTAGCCCTGACTTTCCATTGACCCCAGGCTTTGGTTTTCACTGTAACATATGTGAACAACTTGCAGTTTTCACCATGGGCCTTTCCTCTGAGAGTTCCTACATCAGGGTATGTCCTTCTTTTATACCTGGCTTCTTTTGCTTAATCTGTGAGGGTCACTCACGTTATTCTCTCAGCTGGTACTTCTTTATACCCCACTTTTGTGAAGGAAGCATAGTCTTTTGGAACATTGGCATCTTTCTAGGTTTTTGTCTGTTTGGAATATTCTAGGATACTATTACTCTTGGCTGGATACTCAGGAGAAGCATTCATGGTTGCCCAGAAAAACAGTATGGGCAACTGTTGATGGCTTTAACCAAGAGCCATCTCTCTCGTCCCCAAGCTTTCTTTCTATAAAGAAAACGCCTCTTCAAAACTCAACCTTGGCCTGTGGATTTTCCTTTTTGAGTTTCTGAGACAAGGACCTGGAAC